GTACAGCTTCTTGCCACTACTTAGTAATTACATAACTTGGAAAGTATTGCTAAGCACTTACAGAGAGTACGTGTGCTACATGATGCATATTTAACATTTCTTAATGAAAGGAGTCCATGCCATCTAGAAATTACTGATTATCAGGTAATAAAAGTGTTGTGTTGTCATTATACCCAGCTACAGAGGCCTGCCAGTACTTGAAATATTTGTGCTATTGAGGTATTAGGGAAGTAAGTAATCCATCCATATTAAATACTCGGTGAGTTAGTGGCAGGCCATTATTCATCTTGACTATAATTGAATCTATATTTACTAGAGGTGCTTGAAAGGCAAGGCAATTAACATCTTCAAACAGCCCAGTTTGTTAGAAAAATTTTCTCTTTCAAAAGTCAAAACTGAAAAGTAAGAATGCAATCAACCATAAATGATACTTTCATATTACTCAACCGGAGAAGTAACCACTAATGCTTCTTAGATGACTTCTTACAGAATACTAGTCCAAAGAATTACTTTAATTTCATCACTGTACAATTTATACAGTATATAATAAGGAACTTGTTGAGTTTTGATTTTTTATAAAACATAGTATTTAATCAAACAAATATCAACTCTTGTTGTTGACTATCTTTTGACCCAATATATACCTTACATATTGACTCTGTATTTGCTTGCTTGAACACAGATAGCCAGGGCAATTTTGGGTGATATTGACTGGTGTGCTGTATGCAATGATGCGTAGGGTAACTGCCATGGAGTCAGTGCCTGGTTGCCTACTCTTAACTTCTAAAAGGTCACTGGTTTTAATCCATCAGCTGTTCTGCAGGACAAAGATGGGCATCTCTGCCTGTAAAAATTTGCAACCTCAGAACTCCAACGGAGGGTCACTATGAGCTGAAATCAACTCAGTGGCTGATTTTAGGGTCATGTTTTTTAAATAAGTTATTGTTGGTTGCTATCAGTTTTGGCTCATAATGGCTCCAAAGTACAAGTTCTCTGTAAAGTGTAAAAGACTGTTCGCTTTCAGGGAGCTAACCACCAAAGACAGAGGCACCTCTGGATAGATGTGAACCACCACCCTTTTGTGTAATAGTTGAGCAAGCACTTAACATTTTTCATTACCAGAAAGTTAGAAGCATACAGATTTATGTTTCTAGAGGGGAAAAAGATATCATACTTTAAACATTATTGTTGTTATATCATTGAGTCAAAACTGACTCATAGCTGACCCTCTAGCAGGTTTTCAGAGGATGGAGATAACCCATTTTTCTCCCATGGAGCAGTTGTTGAATTCGAACTGTATACCTTTGGGTTAGCAGCACAATTTCTTACTACTAAGCCACCAAAGCTCTAAAAGTTATCACTAGTATTTAACTCAACGTATTGTCCTTGAGTAGGAACTACCTTATAGCTGATCCTCCAGTATATTTCTTGAGGCTATAAGTCACACAAGGAGGAGAAAGCCCATCCTTTGCGCTTGCAGCTGCTGGTGGACTCGAGCCAACCACTGAAAATGCCATGGAGCACAGTTCTACCCCCACGTGAGAGTGCCATGAGTTGACATTAACTCAGTGGCAACCACCTTACAGTTTGTATTTTAATAAGAATATAATCCAAATAAAAACACTTAAAGTCAAGGTGATTCTAACCAACAATGAACATATATTTAAGAATGTTGTTTGATTGTTGTTGTTTGTGTACCATTGAGGCAGTTAATCAGTCGCATGGGAGGAAATCGCCCATCCTCCTGCGGAGCAGTGATGGCCATGACTTGTGAAGTTCTTGCCAGGGGCTAGAAATGAAAATGAACTATATTCCACAGATTTTCATGAAGCCAGTTAATCACCTGCTTCATGAATATAAAATTTTAGGTGTCCAAGAGGAGAGTACAAACCTCAGTGAATTTATTCTGCACTCATTTATGGCGAATGTCTAGAATTATTGCTTTATTTGGTGGTGTTTACCAAGTAGGTCAACCTGCATTCTCTTAAGTAGGAACAATTCTTGAGTGCATAATGTGTTATCAGACCACTATGAGTCAGCAATAATTTGGAGCAGTCAAGGGGGAAAAAGGTTTTTTTTAAGAAATAATGCTTTTTAACTTAACACAGTTTGCTTTTAACATTATGTCTTAGAACTTCTCTGCACTAAACTTATTGATCTAATTGGTTGGGGAATACTCACTCAGAGAGATACATTTCCTTTTCAGGAAATGTACTTAGGTGCTTAAATTATTTACGAGGCCTTTCTTGCTTTCTATTGAATCATAGTCCCATTGAAGTTTGTTAGCTGTTATTTATTCTTTTTCTTGGTATCATTCTACTATAATTTTCTTCTGCTGGGTACAGCAGTAAACTAGCAGTCTAATTTGGAGTGTGGTGAATGTGTCTTGTATTAATTATATAGTTCCAAATAAGGATCATATCAAAACCTACTTACCAAACTTTGTAGCTCAGAATTCTAGCCCCTTCTAAAATGAATATCCTGAAATATTGCCCAGAGATGTTTTACTAAAAATTTACTAATGCAGTAATTTTTTTCCACAATGAATCATGTTTAGAAGTGTTTTCATGGAAACTGTGCTACAATTCCAAAGGCACACATTCAAATCTACCAGCTGTTTAGCGGGAGAAGGATGGGCAGTCTCCTCCCATGCGATTAACTCCCTCTGATAACTCATCAGAGGGTCAGCTGTGGGTCATTTCAACTTGATAGTACACAACAACAACAAATTTTAAATAAATGAAGAGAAAAAAGAATGAGAGATTAATAGTGAGATCCATGGTCCATCACTTGTAACTTTTGTTTCCTCTGTTGGCCTTCAGTATTTTTTGCCTTTATTTGTTTGCTGATATCTTTGAACACAAATCCAAGACATTATTTAGGTTTACCCATAAACATTTCTGAGGGCCAAGATGTTGGTTTGTGGATTACGGTGCATCTGATTCAAGGTCATGGTCTTTTCAGTCATTTTCAATGCGCCTGAGAGCTGAACCATGAAGAATTGTTGTCTTTGAGTTGTGGAGTTGGAGAAGAGTATTGAATATCCCAAGGACTGCCAAAAAAAACCACACACAGATATGTCTTGGAAAAAGTGCAGCCAGAGTGCTCCTTGGAGGAAAGGTTGTTCCTTCAAAAAGGATGTCTTGCTTAGAAAGGTGGAGAGTCAGTGAAAGAGAGGAAGACCATCAACAAGACAGATTGACAGTGAGTGCAGCAATAGGCTTAAGTATGTCAGAGATGATGACAGGGTTCAAATCTGTTTTTCATAGGGTCGCGATGAGTTGTACTCAACACAACAGCATCTAACAAACAACAACCTAAACATTTCAGTGTGTATCCAAAACTAGTAAGGACTTTGAAAATTTACTTAACATAAAATTTTTATGTTTTCTGTACAAAGGGTCTGTACTCAATGGCATCTATCAACGACAACAACAACATAAAATGGCTAGTCCCTGGGAAGAGACATCCTGCTTGGAAAGATCAGTGAAAGAGAGGAAGACCCACAATGAGATTGGATACACAAAACAGTGGGCTTGTGTATATTAGAAATGATAACTAAGACACGGTTCAGATCTGTTTGTAGGGTTGCTATGAGTTGTAGTTAGCTTGACAATATCTAACGACAACATGTGTATAGTGAGCGAGCTTTGGTGGCGTTGCCAGTATGGCCCTGTGTCACTAACACAAAGGTCCCACCTCTGCAAAGGTCCCACCTCGGCCTGATCAAATCCACAAGGGCTTCACAGAATGGAGCAGTCTCCACCTGTGTGATTTACAGCCTCTCAAATCTCACTGGAGGGTAAGCCGTGAATTTGTTCCAATGCAATAATAATGAGTCTAAGAAAAGGTGCTCTAAGTGGTACTTACAGCCGCAAACAAAAAGCTGGTGACCCAAACCTACCAACTACGACTCAGGAAAAGTTGTTGCCGTCTACTTCCACAAAGATGTACAAGCTTGGAAACCCTCTGACAGAGTTTCAGAGTAGGGTTATTAGAAATCAAAATTGACTTAAAGGTGTGGGTTTGGGATATGCCTGCAATCCTTAATAAGAATTTTCTAATTTTATTCAAAATACCTCTTTACATTTGGTCAAGAAAGGATCCCAAAATGTTCTATACATTGTATTTGGTTGTTATGTCTATAGATCTGCAACAAACGTAGGCTTTTTCTTTTTCTTGTGGTATCAACCTTTTTTAAGTTCAGTTGTCCTGCTGAATGTCCAGATTGTGGATTTATTTGATTGTTTTCTCAGGCTGGCTGCCATTTATTCCTTGTCTTCCTATAAGCATCTAGAAGATTGGATTAGAGTCCAACTCAAGGTTTTATACAAGTGTATTTATAGGTGGTTCTAAGTGCTTCCTAATGCTTTATATTAATATCTGGTAATTATACCAATTAGTTAACAATTGATGTTTAATACATGTCTTCTTTGTGGAGAGGATTTCAAGAATCCATATTGAGAAATCCATATATTACATAACTTACACTTTAATGTTTTAAATCATCAATTTTAAATCAAGATCATCTTTTATTATCATTAGCCTATTATCTTTATTATCCCAACATATACCTTGTCATCAATCATTTGTTTCCAATTAAGTAAATTATTTTAAAAATTCATCTGTTAAAATTGATTTTTACACATTTTGAAAAATGAAACTTAATTCTCAGCTAAATTACGAAGCATTTTCTTTGCACCTGAATGCTATGTGGCTAAAATTTTTAGAGTTCTAGAGCTCAAAGCAATATAAATCCCGAGGTGACACTTCATCTGCTATTGTTTAATCTGATGACCTATTGATCAGCAGAGCATTCAGCAGAATGACATATTGCTAAATTGACTAACAACCATCTTTCTTCACTGACATATATCTTCAAGATTATGTTTCCATTGCTCATAAAAGGGGGACCTTGTACAACATTCGAAGTGTTTTAACAAGCTCATTGTTTAAATTGATTGCCTATCACAAGCTGTCATTTATCTGCTTCTTCGCAGGAAGAAATCTTTCCTGTTTTCCGCTCTGTATGCTGCCTTTATATTTGGTGGTCGGCACCTAATGAACAAACGAGCAAAGTTTGAACTGAGAAAGCCATTAGTTCTCTGGTCTCTGACCCTTGCCGTCTTCAGGTACGTTATCTTCATTTGCTTGATACAATCCATTATGTTTCTTGAGAGAAAGTGACTGTTGAACATTTTGCTGTATATTTTTGTATGTATGATTTTTAAATGTGTTGAGGACTAAAACAAAGCCATGTTTAGGAAAAAAGTCTCCATGGAGATAAAATTTGCCACACTGTATGCAACCTTTTTATTTTGAGAAATCTAGGACCGTCTTCCGTTTTTGCCCAGATACTCGTGCAGTGATCCTATTCATCTGTTATGGTTGGAAGCAGTTCTATTATTTCTGCTACCTAAATATAGATGAAGGGCCACATGCAGTACAGGGCTGACGGCCATTGTAAGGCAGAGCTCCAATGTGATGGGCATGCTGTTACTAATACATGATCAAAGATGGCACTTGTTCAAGCAGACATTGGATATCTGTGTGTGTCAGCATCACTAGGCCAGAGAATGCTTTCAGTCTGCATTCTCAGAGCCCGCTCCACCCAGACACCGCCAACTGCCTCCACCTCCTCCACATAGGCTTATACAGACACTTCTTACTTTGCATCGCAGAATGTACCATACAAACAGACTGAATACAGACTGACCTGACTCGGCATGGTCCCCACAGACAGCTGTCCAGGCAGGCACATTCCTCCAGGATATTGGGCAACATTTCCAGCTTCCTAATGTTTGGTGATCCAGGCAATCACAAGTTTAATTAGCACACAGCTGGTGTCCAAGCAGGTGCCAGAATTTACCTGCAGTGATGACAAAGGCTATATTTGTGTTTTGCTTGTCAAAACCAGCAAGTTTATAAAGAGTCTTGGTGGAGGGGGATGGTGTGCTGAGTCTACTGCAAAGCACAGAGTCATCCATGTTGATATTCAGGGCTATTTTGTTGTTGTTAATTTTTCACATTATATGTAAACTGTTCTACCACTTAACAAAAAGATGGGATAATTACAAATCTTATTGTTCACTCAGTATATTTTCAGGTTTGATTGTCAAAATGGATTGAAAGTGATCAGATGGGAAGAAGACTTTCCTATCAACTCTTGTGTTCTGTATACTTGTATGATGTTGGATCCTTGCATCTAACACCCATTTCCTGCTACTATAAAATACACTTATGTTTTTATTATTATTATTATTATTATTATTATTATTATTATTATTATTATTATTATTTTCTGTGTATGTACCATCACATCAGATCTAAGTGGTACAGGAGGAGATTGCCCCTCCTTCTCCAGCAAAGCATCTGGTGAATTCAAACCATGTACCTCTGGGATTGCAGTGCAAGAATACACTTAATGCTTTGATATATTTTAGAAGATAGGTGAGTTGCCACTGAGTCAATTCTGACTCACAATTATGGTAGAATTTTCCCATATGATTTTTAAGGCTGCAAATCTTTAGAGGGCTCTGATGGGCTAGTTGATAGGGAATTGTGCTGCCAACCCAAAATGTGGGCAGTTTGAATCCTCCAGCTGCTTCACAGGAGTAAGATAAGCAATCTTCTTATAGCTTCAGAAAACCCATTGGAAGGTCAGCCATGAGATAGTTCCAACTTAATGACAACAAATTTGTTTAAGTTAAATCTTTACAAGAACAGACTGTCACATTTTTCTCCCAAACACTGGTGAGTTAAATCTTCCAGCCTTTCAATTAGTAGCCAAGCATTTAAGTGCTGTGTCATCAAGTCTCCCTTATTCAGACATTATTCAAGCCGTAGCCTTGAGGAACTTATAATTGAGATCTATCATTAGAGATTCCACTATGGTTTGTGCTAAGGTATACATAGTTGAATTTTAATTTTCATTTTTTATTTAAGCTTGAGAATATGCCCATCTATTGTTTTCTGTTCCTTCAATGGAGATTTATCTATATCCAACCGAGGCTTGTCAGAATTTTACAGCTTTTTGTTTTTTCGTTTTTTAAAACTTTAACGCATGTAAGTAGAGAAAATAGTACAATAAACTTTCATGCGCTGGTTTGTTGTCATTGTCGTTGTTGTTGTTATATGACTCATAGTGACCCCACAGGGAAACTACCCCATAGAGTTTCCAAGGCAATGTTGTATTTTTAGTATGATTTTTTTAAATGTTATTAAAAATCTTTATTCAAATTTTCTCATCTCATGTATTATTTTGAATGTTTTATTTTTTAAAAAGTAGATCAAAGTTTTTCAGTTGGTTAATCATATTTTTCTACTGATTGGATCTCATTTGTTTACAGAATCCCCTTTTCTCCCCACCACTCCTTTAAAACTACCCTGATTAAAGCCAGATCATTCATTTGCTTCATATGTGGGTTTTACTGATTGCAGGCTGCTGTCTTTTGTCTTTTTTACAAGCTGGCAATTAGATTCAGAAGGTTAATTATATTGAGGCTTACTGTTTGACAAGACTTCCTATAAGAAGAAACCTGGCTTCTCAACTAGCTATTCCATTAGCCTAAAATGTGTATGACAATGTGTGTGCGTGTTCTAGTACTAGAGGGGGAAAAGGTGCTCTTACTATGTAAGGCAGGATAAATGCTTTATGCTGCTGTTAGGTGTTGTCAAGTTAATACCACGTGTAGAGACCCTGTAAACAACAGATCTGAATCCTGTACTCTCCTCACTGTGTCAGTCTGCCTGGTTGAGAGTCTTCCTTGGGCCATTTTGTCTATTTATCAGTGTCTTCCTAAATCCACTACACGATATTTGATTTGATGACATAACACGCGGACAATAGCATTTGTTTACATAAACAGCATGCATATGAACTTACATTTCTATTTGTTATTGAATTTTATGATGCCCTTTTTTGGCAGTGGCAGTTTCAGATGGACTCTTGAATCCTTTCACATACCTTGAGCAGTGCAGATAGCTTGAAATTTGTTATGACAAGATGTACTGGGCTATTTTTCAAAGTGTGGAGGATAAAATTTGAAGTTTGTATCACTGAATTTACAGGGGCGGTCAGCTGACTTTATTTATGTTTTTCCGCATCTCTTTGAAACCCAAATGAAACTGTTCACTACAGTTTAGTAAACTCATGTGTCCTTTGCCCACAGGGTGCTTCATCCCTGTCAGGTTATGATATAAATTTGGAAGAAGACTTTGACTATATAGGAATGTACAATGGGGTTGGGAGAGAGGTGGATGCCAGCGATAGTTGAAAGTAAAATCTTTCACTGAAGATTTAGTATCTGTTTACATTGCTTATAGGATATGCTGACCCTGGCAATGTGTTTCTGTAGGTACTGGAGTTCTAGGAATGTAAAGAGTTGACCTGCCAAATGGAAAGTTTGGAGTTGCTGTAAAAGAAAGGCCTGGTGTCCCACATCCAGTATATATATGGTCAGCCACTGAGAACCCCACGGAGCACAGTCGACGCCAATAAACTAGCAACTACTTATTGGTTGTGCTTCACTGTGCTAACTTAGTGTTTATTTCTAGGCTTTTTAAGGCCAGACATGAAACAGACTCCTGAATTGAAACAGACATTTATGTTTCAATCTGAAGATTTTATTTGACCTTTACCTTACAATTAATAGTTTCTCTTCGGTTCCTAGTGTCAGTATATAGTTCCTCATTTATCTCACAGCACACCTATCTCCCTAGTACTCTTACTTATTTTTGATTGGCAAGTTCTCTTTTTTGTTTCTACTTCTTAATTTATTTCTTCTATTACTTGTTTTATATGAAGACAAAGAAGAACCAGAAGGACATGCAAGAGTGTAAGGCAGGCCAAATGATTATAATATTCTCTGCAGGAAATCTGAAAACATTGATAATGGAGTTCTAAGTTTATACTAACAGAACCTGGTTCTATGTCTAGAAGGGTATGTGGTTGATCCTCAATGGTTAAAGAATATTAGAATGTTAGTAAGGTATTGGCAAGCCATTTATTAAATGAAATAAGCTACATATAGAGTATTTTTTTAATAGAACATTCATTCACATTTTAATCCTAGGCACAACAGTTATCTGTTCATTTACACATTTAACAATTTGTAAATTCTTTTTTTTAAAAATTAAGTTAAAAAAAAAATTAAATGCTAAATGATGCATTTATTTACTGACTGTTGATGTAGTATGTAGCAAATTTAGATTAATTGCAGTAAGAAATTTTCTCTTTCGTCAAGAGTAACTTAAGCAAGGATATATTTTTGTAAAAGCTCTTCCTTTCCTGAGTTTTCAGATACATTTGTATAAATGTGTATATGTCTTTCAAGAGACCTTCCCTATATTAGCTGTAATGCCTCAGATTCTGTCATCTAGTCTACCTCTCTTTCCTCCTTCCCTCGTCATCCCCCCTTGAAAAATCTGGTGGAATTTGGAGAAAGAAGGAACAAGAAAGAGAGAGAACTGGTCATATCCAAATTTTTAAGCTACAGAAATTGGAGTATAGTAAGGTTTTTCTTTGGGAAAATTCTGAAAAGATGTATTATTATGTTTTCCTGCTTAGGAATAGTATTTTCTTCCTTCCCAACTGTGATTCTTTCCAGTTCCCATCTACTGTTGTTAATCACAAACTGAAGCAACTGAAATGGGAATTATTTTGGATACTTAAAAACCTTCCCTTGATTATCAGTATAGTCCAGGAGGGCTGGAATTTTTTTGCATCTTGTGGTGGCTATTCTTTTGTCAAGAATTATCAATGTGAGATTCTCATTTTCTGAAATGATGGTAATCTTTTTACAGGCCCTATTCAGTATGGTTTCTAGGACACTGGCATTGATTCCAATAAGGAGATTTCACTACTAAGTTTTCTGAGGCCCACAATGGATTTCACCTGTGAATTATTTACCTTTATTCAGAGCTCACTATCAGTTTTCTAGTCGTACCCACAATGGTGGTAACCTGTTTACCTCAACCTGAAGATAAGCATTTCCTTATTCAGTGGCCCGAGGTGTCTGAACATTGTTGTTATTGTTATGTGCTATCAAGTTGCTTGCGACTCATAGCTTCTCTCAATATTTGCCATAAGCTAGTGTTAGCTTATGGTAAATATTGAGAAAATCTGGCTATT